AGAGGTCCTGAGTTCAGTTCCCAGCAACCACATGGTGGCTCACAACCATCTGTATGTAATGTGATCTGGTGCCCTCTTCTAGCACGCACTGTATACATGATAAATAATAAATAAATCTTTAAAAAAATACAAATATTAGGCTAAGTTGTGGATCAGTGTTGAGTGCTTGTCAAACAGGTCCTGGGTCCAATGCACACACCTTTTTCTTAAAGAAAGAAAAGGAAGAAAAAAAAAAAAAGAAAACAAAAAAACTGGAAAAAAAAAAAAAAAAACAGCAGAAGGGAAAACCTGAGGAGAGGTCCACCTGGGCCAAGGCCTGACTGTCCACTAATTCATCAGACTGCACAAAATTGCCAACAGACAGGCACGGAAGCTGACTCCACAGAGGAAATTGAAAGCCAGAGAGGCCAAACAATACCTCTCAGGTCACATCCTCCATCACCTTGCAAAAGGAAGTTGTGGGTGTCACTCAGGACCCCGCCTTTCTCAGAGCCTCTTACCTGCTGAGAGTTCACCATGACATCTGACTTCTGTTCTTCCTTGGCTGGGCTTGCACACAGGGGCTGGACCGGGCTAGGGACTGCAGAGTTCTCTTTTGGGGCGGCTGGGGCTGATTCTCCAAACTCCAGGACATCAATTTCTTTCTCGAGCCTGTAGAGGCAGAAAGGTCATACAGAGGCTCCTCAAATTTAGGTTTTTGGTTTTTCAAGACAGGGTTACTCTGTGTAAAAGCCTGACTATCCTGGAATTTGCTGTGCAGAGCATGCTGGCCTTGAGCTCACAGAGATCCACCTGCCTCTGCTTCCCGAGTGCTGGGATTAAAGGTATGGGTCACCATTTATTTGTCATTAGACAATGTCTGTGCACATGGTGGTCACCATGTGAGTTCTGGGGATTGAACTCAGGTTCTCAGGCTTGGCAGCAAGCACCTTCAGCCACTGAGCCATCTCACCGACCTACGTTCTGTTGTTTTAACTTCTGGACTGGCTATGGGGGGCCTGCAGCTCTCTCAGCCAGCAACCAGCAGGGCTGAGTCCACTATGGGCTAAGCTGCTTCAAACAAACTCCTCTTCCCCGTTTTCCCACTCAAGACTGGCAGGAAGGGTTAGCTTTGTAGGGACAAAGGGAAAAATATGTGTCACTGTCACAAGCACCAGAAGACTTCAGAACAAATTCCCCAAAAAAACAATGCAGGCAGAGGCAATGATAGCACACCCCTGTCATCCCAGCACTAGGCAGGCTGCACAAGATTGCTGCCAGTTTTAGGTCAGTCTGAGCTATAGAGATCCAGGTTCAAAAAACAAAAGTAACAAAGAATTTTTGAAAAAGGGATAGGGTGGGGGCAGTCAGGGACTGGGGTATGGCTAGTGGTGGAGCCCTCCTAAAATTCCCCACTGAGGGGCGGGGGGCATGGTCAGGGAGGAGCCCCCTTAGGATTCCCCAGTAAAGGACTGGGGGCGTGGTCATGGGGTGGAGCCCCACCTAGAATCCCCCAGTGAGGAGCTGGGAGTGTGGCCACAGGTGGAGCCTAGTCCTAGCCTGGTTGATTTGATTCTTTGATTCTACCAGCCAGGCAAAAACCAAAACAAAACCTCAGAAAACACTCAACGGGAACAGGAAAACAGAAGCCCGGGGAGTCGGTTATCTCTCTTAATGTGCAGGAGAGCCCCAAATGCTATCTTTAAACTGCTCTCCAATTGGTCAGGGAAATCCCAGCTAACCCCACAGACTTCCCCTGGACAGGCTGAATTCACACAGAAGTTAGTCATTTCCTTGTACTCCGACCCCTCTTTTCCAAGTCAGACCCCCATCAGCTGCCTTCGGGAAACACTTGTGTTTTGTTCCAGCCCCCACGGGGAAGGCTACTACTCTCCCTGTCCCGACCCCCCCCCCCCACGCTTCCTGCAGGCTCAGCTGCCTCTGTGGTCTCTATTAGGGCTTGCAAGGGCCAGCTGGGCTGGCGCCAGGAAGCCTCTGCAAGCCCTCAGGGAGGCTGGTGGCGGCACCTCCCTTCCTCAGGGACTCCTGTTTGCCCAGGCTTCACACCAGCTCCTCCAAGTGTCACAGAGGAGGAAGCTAAGGCAGGGTCTGCCTACAGTCCCTAGTTGCAGCTGGAGGTTGGGCACTGTGTGACCCTCAAGGAGGCACATGGGAAGGTCCACACCGTGACACCTGCCCACCTCTGATGGAGGGGGCCCCAGAAGTGTCCCCAGGCCCAGCCCATTAACTCCTGGCCAATCCACCTGGACTCCCCTTGTGTCACCCGAAAAGGGCCCCCTCCCCTACTGCCCACCTGGTGATGGACTCCTCCAGGACCCGGACCTTCTGTTCATCCTCCTGCATCTGCTTCCTCATGTCCTCATTGCCCTCAGAGGCTGAGGACGGTGTCCCCTCCAGCAGCCAGCGTTCCCGAAGTGCCTTGGACTGGGGTGGCAGGGAAGTGGCTCAGAATCCAGGCAGGGTCACAGTTGGGATCCATGTTAAGGTTAGGGTTATGAATGGGATCATTGTTGGGGTTGAGGTCGATCAGGGTCAGGCTGGTCGGTCATAAATGGAGTTACAATGACCTTAGTCCCAGTCATTCCGAGGGTCACACACGCCAACAGTACCATGCAGGCCCCACACAGAGCTACACAGACAGACTTTAGAGAAATAGCCCACACAGGCCTGGGTCTCAAAGACCAGGGCTCAAATAGCACCCAAAGTTTTCCACAGACCACCCCAAGGTTCCACCCACCTCACCCTCTCCACCCCACCCACCTTCAGGTACTGCAGCTGTCTCCTGTCATCTTCCAGTTGTCTCCGCTTGCCCTCAATCTCGGCTTGCTTCCGACGCTTCTCCTGTGAGTGTAGATTAGGTCAGGACCACACCCGCCCCAGTGTGATCCAGGAGACCCCGCACCTCTGTGAACTGTACCCAGCACAGCCAGGGGACCGGGACAAAGGAGTATTAGCAGACTGTGGGCATAGGTTGTGACAATTGCCAGCCTCAGTTTCCCCCACCTATTTTCGTTCTAGGGACCCCTACATAACTCTGCTTGCTGTAGCCAAGTTCCAAGCCACAGACTGTGCATCAAGAACCCTGGAACCCCACCCTGCCTGACCCACTCATGACCCCAGGTCCACAGTGGGAGGAACTCACTGCAATGGCCTGAAGACGCTCCTGCTGGGACGCAGTGTCTGTCGCCAGGACCCTGCATATGGGAGACAAAATCCGACCCTTTACCATCTAGCCAACCCAGGACCACACCTAACCCTAGATCCCCTGTCAGGTGGGGTCCCAGCCCCTCAGAGGCTCTACCTAGAGACCTGGGAAGGGTTAGGAAAGGGTGGCATTAGACTTGGGCTATGAAGGATATATAGGCAGCAAAGTTAAAGAGGGAATGTCTGTCACCGCCCAGGACACACTAGAAGACTTGTCAAGATGATCACCCTCCTCTCAACTAAGTCAGACACAGAAAGGATCAAGGCTCCATCTGCCCCTCTCCCCATTAACCTCCCAACACTACAAAGTAAATGACAAAATGGTAGGTTCTCAAAGCAGCCCAAGATCCCAGAGACAGTGTGAGTTTCCCCAGAACACACAGCAAAGATCAGCAAAGCCAAGGTTTCATCTCCCCTTGTTCCCTTGTTCCCGAGACAGAGGTTAGCCTCGGTCACCTCACCCAGCCCCCAGCCCCCCTTTCCTGAGGCCTTATCTCCACAGACTGAAATTACAGCCATGTTCAACACCCTGGAGTCAGGCTTCCCTGTACCTCTCTGGGCCTCAGTTTCCCCATCTGCACAACTCAGGAGCAAGAGATGCATCTAGCTCGGGCTTGCCTAGGAGTGAAGCAGGGAGGAGGTCCTGCAGCCCCCAACAGCGAACTGCCCCCACACAAGTCCATCCAGACAACCGGACTCAGCGGCACCGCCCCACCCCCCACTTTGGATTAAGTTTCCTGACCTCATTGAGGTCTGTGAAGTGACCTGGCTCCCACGCCCCAACAGGTGACCCTGTCCAGCTGCTCCCTTCCTGGCAGGAAGCACCTTGCCATCTCAGTGCCTCTCAGGGGCCTGGTGGTGTGAGAGCACACTGATTTATCTATTTTTACAGGCCTGGGGATGGAATCCAGAGACTTGTACTTGATAAGCAGGGGTTCCCGCCCTGACCACGCCCCCAGCCCCTCACTGGGTGATTCTAGGTGGTGCTCATCCTGACCATGGACCCAGCCCTATTTCTTACTCTGTGTGTGGTGTGGGGGGTGTGCATGGATTTGTACACATGTGTACACATGCAGTGGATGACAGAAACCAATCTTGGGTATTCCTCAGTCACCACTCAGCTTGTTTTTTTTTTCCAGATAGGGTTTCTCTGTATAGCCCTGGCTGTCCTGAAATTGGCTCTGTAGACCAGACTGGTCTCAAACTCACAGAGCCCTGCCTGCCTCTGCCTCCTGAGCGATGGGCCTAAAGGCCTACACCACCACTGCCTGGTGCCCCTATTTATTTATTTATTTATTTATTTATTTATTTATTGTTTTTCAAGACAAGGTTTCTCTGTGTAGCTTTGGAGCCTGGCCTGAAATTTACTTCGTAGACCAGGTTGGTCTTGAACTCAGAGACTGCCTGCCTCTGCCTCCTGAGTGCTGGGATTAAAGGCGTGCGCCACCACTGGGCCTGCCCCCTACTTTTTATAGTGAGAGGCTGCAGTCTCACTAAATTGCCCACGCTGGCCTCAGCCTTCTAAGTCCCTGTGTCACCTGGGTTGGCTTGGGGCCAGGCTTCTCCTCTCTTGCCTTTGTCCTCAGCGAGGCTTCAGCAGTAGGTATTCAGGAAAGGCTCGATCCAGCTCCTGGAGAGCTACCCCTTAGCTGCTTGGCTAATCTTCTCTGGAGGCCCACCTCTCATTTCCTTACAGCCCATGTGTCCCCTCCCCTGCCCAGGCCTCTACTATCCCCTCTCTCCTCTTTGCTCCCAGCAGCCCCCTCTCTGCCCAACAACCCAAACCACCTTCTCACAGTAAAAACCAGACCTGTCTCTCTCCTTCAGTCACATCACCCCTTGCGAGAGACCCCACCTGGTGCAGCAGCCTGAATCTACCTGCATACCTCCAGTCTCCCCCTCACTCACTCTATTCCAATCGCTGAGGTGCGGTCGCGTCTACCCAGATCCTTTGGTGAGTTTTCTCCAAGGCAGAATGCTACACACTGTGCACCAGAGGCCACCCCACACTCCCTCCTCCTCCTCCATTCTAGGAAGAGGGCAGAGGTGAGAGGCTCCTCTTTGCAGCCAAGGCACCCAGGACCCCGGAAGGCAGCAGCTGGGCCACATAGTGAGTTCTCAGCCAGCCAAAGCTATGTAGTGAGGCTCTGTTTAAAAATAAAATTGAGGGGCTGGAGAGATGGCTCAGCAGTTAAGAGCACTGACGTCTCTTCCAGAGGACCAGGGTTCAATTCTCAGCACCCACGTGGCAGCTCACAACTGTCTGTAACTCCAAGATCTGACACAGTCACAAAGACATGCATACAGGCAAAACGCCAATGCACATAAAATAAAAATAAATTATAAAAATAAAATTGAAGCCGGGCGTTGGTGGCGCATGCCTTTAACCCCAGCACTCGGGAGGCAGAGGCAGGTGGATCTCTGTGAGTTCGAGGCCAGCCTGGTCTACAGAGCGAGTGCTAGGACAGGCTCCAAAGCTACACAGAGATACCCTGTCTCGAAAAACCAAAATAAATAAATAAATAAATAAATAAATAAATAAATAAATAAATTTGAGCCGGGTGATGGTGGTGCATACCTTTAATCCCAGCACTTGGGAGGCAGAGGCAGGTGGATCTCTGTGAGTTCGAGGCCAGCCTGGTCTACAGAGCGAGTGCTAGGACAGGCTCCAAAGCTACACAGAGATACCCTGTCTCGAAAAACCAAAACCAAAACCAAACAAACAAACAAACAAATTTGAAAAAGAGGAAAAAGAGCCATTCGGAGTTACCCATTCACTGTGATATTCCCCCCACCAAAGGGTCAGGCGACCATTCAGGCCGGGCAGAGGGACAGCTGTGTGGCCGGTGGGCCGATAGAGACAAGGCAATCAGTGTCCTCAACCAGACGGCTGTCCCCCAGCCAGAGCGGACGAAAGTCAGGCGAATAGCCAGCCAACATAAGAGACAATGTTCTCAGTCGTCCCAAGAAGACAACTTCCATCCCTCTGTCCCTTCCGTCCCCAGATTGTCGTCGCATGGTCACAAGCACAGGCGCACAGCTGAGCCCCTCCCGCACCCCTCCCCACCCCACGGGCGCCACTGCTGTGATGGATGGCGGGCCCGCGGGAGGCGGTCGCCCTGGCAACCTTGCTGTCCCCATGGCAACGCGAGGCCTTGAGTGTGGAGGCGGGGCCTGCGCTGAGCATCCACCCCCGGCCCAGTGCTGGGGGGCTGTGAGGCTTCCACTAGCTTTGGGTGGGGGGTGCTGGAGGGTGGGAGGGCGCTTGCCTTTTGCCCCATTTTGGTTTTTGGAGTGCCCACGCATCTCTCTGGGAAGGGTCTGGAGCAGGCAGTGAAGGTTAAGAGGGGAGAAATATGCAAAACATTAAACCCAAGTCATATCTAAGGGCCTATGCCTGCGATTTCGACAAGAGAGGCAGGACAGTGAGTTGAAAGCCAGCCTGGTCTCAAAATACAGAGTGAAAAGGGAGTATGGGGCTGGTGGGCGCTCCCCTAGGATGCAGGAGGTTGGGATACTGGGGAGTCAGTTCAAGGTCATCCCTAGTTATTAGGGAGTTTGGGGCCAGCCTTGGCTATATGGGACCCTATCTCAAAAACTAATGAGCTAGAACATGGTGTGAAAAGCCTGTAATCCCAGCACTCAGGAGGCAGGTGGATCTCTGTGAGTTCGAGGTCATCCTGATCTACAGAGTGAGTTCCAGGACAACCAGAGCTACACAGAGAAACCCTGCCTTGAAGAAAAAAAAAAAATATTGGTTTTATTTTATGTGTGCGTGGGCCTGCAAATGGAGCTGGGCACAGTGGCTAAATCCCTGCACTTGGGAAGTCAAGGCAGGAGGATTTTCAGTAAGCTTTAGACCAGACTGGGCTATGTTGTGAGGAAACTCGGTAAGACACTGAGAGAAGCCCCTGTGGAATGACCCTCGGGTTCTGGTGGGGCTGAAAATGCCAGAGGCTGTGTGTCCTCAGGTCTCACATACACTGGGAGACGCTGACATTTAGTGAGATGGAAGCTGCACTGTGAGCTGTGTGTCTGGGAAAAATGACTTGTGGTCTCCCAGCCTCTCCTGGTGCCTCTGGGGACAGCAGGCACCAGCTGGGAGCTGCTACAGGGTACCCTATGCCCACTCACCCCAGCTCAAGGAGTCGTACCTTCTGGGGATAATTTTAAAGTACTTGGGGGGGGGGATGGGCTCCTTGGTTGATGTGTGTGGGTGGCGGAGGACCACGGAGGGCGTCGTCTCCTAGCTCCTGAGATTATTCAACTCCAGATGAGATAATGGGAATCCAGTGACAGCCAAGCCCAAACCTTGGCTTCCAGTTTTGTTTTTCCAAGGCCCAGAGAGGTTATGCAACAGGCCCAAGGTCACCCAGCGGACAGGACGGATCTGGCAGGGATAGAGATGGTGGGTGGGGGTGGGGGGCTGTTGCCTCCACAGCCTGGGCAGCTCCAGTGTCCAGCAGGACAGCAATGAAAGGGATGAAGCTGGTCAGGCGTGGAGCCTAGTGCCCAGAACATTCCTGAGGCTAAATGAAAGAAAAGTGCTGATGGTGACCTTGGCCAGGAGGGGAAGGGGTGGCCAGCAGGGCTGGTGAGAGGAGACTGGCCTGGCAGCCCTCCCCCACTGAGGCCTCCAGTGTGGGGCTGCCCAGTCCACCTGTCTGCTGCCCTCTCTCTCCTGGCCTCTTAGTATCTTAGTACACGTTCAGACCTGAAACCCCAGGCGTTTCTCAGCCTGCTCCAAGCCCTAAGCTAACCTTAGCCATCAGGCTGGCTTCCCTGCGCTGAACACCTTCAGCCTTTCCACCTTCTAACTAAACAATGTGCAGCCTCATCCTCCAGGGAGCTCTCCAGGGAGTCTCCTAATGACCCATGCCAGGATTACATGCAGCCCCAGGCATGGAGTAGACTCAACCACCCCTGAGCAGTGCAGAGGACAGCAGCACAGACCAGTGCCAGAGAAATAGATGCATTGATTATTAACCTTCGGTTAGAGGAGAGGCTGGACCCTGCCCAGGTCCTCACAGGTGAAAGGGGACTCTGGCATATTCTAATGTAGAGACTAGTTCCGTAGATGCCCCGCCCCCCAGAACTCTTCCAGTAGTGATCCTCAAACACTGGGGCCTGCTGTGACCCTAGGACCTCCCACTTGGTGAAGTCTCGCTCCTCTCCCTGGCCATGCTAATCTTCAAATTTTAACATTCGTTAGCCTCACACCATGACACACTCTGACCACTTCATTGTGTTTTGTATTCCACAAGAAGGATGTCCTATCTTTCCCCTCCCAGTTGTCTTCAGCAGTGTACACAGCAGGTTCTCAACGACCAGTGAAGCATGGTCAGGGGAAGTCACTCAGTCGCTCGCTGAAGTGACTTCCGGGACCCACATTTATCCACAGTGGGGCCTGGATGTCTAACACCCTGAGCAGAGTTACAAACTCACATGTAAACCATGTAGTGTCCGCAGGTGAACGATGGGCACATAACTGGACCATCCACAGAGGAGGAGTACTCAGCCATAAAGAGAAGCAAGGCTGCGACATATGCCACGGTGCAGAGAGATGGAGGACACTCAAGGCCACACCGTGTGTGGGACTCCATAACAGAAAATGTCCCCAACAGGGCAATCCAAAGATGGGAAGTGGACTCAGAGGTGCTGGGGGCTTGGGAGGGGATGGGGTGACTGTTGGGTGAGGGCTTCACTTTGGGGTGATGGGATATTCTAGAGCAGTGGTTTTCACCCTTCCTAATGTTATGATGACCCTCAACCATAAAATTATTATGTCGCTACTTCATAATTGTAATTTTGCTACTGTTAGGAATCATAACGCCAATGTCGGATGTGCAGGACATTTGTTATGGGACTGTGTGAGAGGGTTACCCACAGGCTGAGAACCCTGCGCTGCAGCTAGATAGAGGAGGTGGTTGGACACCTCGGCATAGATATGTAGGGTGAATGCCCCCTTAAGGGAAATGGATGGGATGAAGTCCAGACACAAAAACATTTGTTTCATATGTATTCAGAGAGCCCTCTTTTCTTTGTGATGGGGTTCAGGACACCCAGGACACCCTTGGACCTCCTATGACCCTTCCTTCTGCCTATCTCCAAGTGCTCGGGTGACAGTGTGTGCCTGCCACACCTGCTTTCTATGACACTGGCACTGGAGCCGAGTCACATGATGCCAGGAGAGCGTTGTACTTTTCGAGCCTCAGTGCCGAAGTCTCTCATACCAGATACTCAACACAACTGTCTTGAGTGGACCAATACAGGGCTAGGTGGAAAATTCTCCACTTGAGTCACTATCAGTGCTCAAAATATTCCAGATTTTTTGTTTTGTTTTGTTTTTTGAGACAGGGTTTCTCTGTGGCTTTGGAGGCTGTCCTGGCACTCGCTCTATAGACCAGGCTGGTCTCAAACTCATAGATCCACCTGCCTCTGCCTCCCAAGTGCTGGAATCAAAGGCGTGTGCCACCACTGCCCAGCTAGTATTCCAGATTTTTTAATATATAATTTATTTAACTTTATTTTATATGCATTGGTGTAAAGGTGTCAGATCTGGAGTTACAGACAGTTGTGAGCCACCATGTGGGTGCTGGGAATTGACCCCAGCTCCTCTGGAAGAGCAGCCAGTGCTCTTAACCTCTGGGCCATCTCTCCAGTCCCATATTCCAGATTTTTAAAAGACTTATTTATCTCTGGGTGGTGGCGGCACTTGCCTTTAACCCCAACACTCAGGAGGCAGAGGCAGGCGGATCTCTGTGAGTTCGAGGCCAGCCTGGTCTCCAGAGCGAGTGCCAGGATAGGCTCCAACACTACACAGAAGAAACCCTGTCTCAAAAACCAAACAAACAAACAAAAAAACCTTTAGCAAATCGTGGAGAAGGTGCTAACAATGATTGTGATGGGCAATACTGTCAACCATATAGGCTCTAGAGTCACCATGGAGACAGAACTATAGGGCACATCCATGAAAGATTCTCTACATCAGGTTAACCACGGTAGGAAGACACACCCTGGCTGTGGTGGAGCTGTCCCACAGGCTGGGGTCCTGGGTTGAACCCAGTGGTCACCTCTCTGCTTAGTGTGGCTGCTGTCATGCTCCTCCCTGCTATGCTGGAGGGTGCTAACTTCGGCCAGGACAGACCCCTCCTCCCTTCAGCTTCTTTTCCCAGCCACCAGACACTTCGCTAATATAACGATGTGCCATCCTTTCCTCCCGGGGCCAAGCCAAAGACAGGCTGGGTCCCCACCCACCCTCCTGGTCTTGCACTGAGACGTCCTATGGACAGAGGATCTGGACACAAGTGGAGTTGAGAGACGGCTTGGCAAGTAAAGGGCTTGTTGCACAAGCATAAGGACCTGAGTTCAAATCCCCAGCACCCACATAAAAAGATGGACATAGTGGTGCAGGCTTGTGGTCCCAGCCCAGGGAAGGCAGAGACAGAAGATGCCTAGAGCACACTGGCCAGTCAATGTGCCAATAAATTCCAGCCCACTGAGCATGGTGGCACACATCTTTAACCCCAGCATTCAGTGGTAGAGGCAGGAGAATCTCTGTGAGTTCAAGGCCAGTCTGGTCTACAGACTGAGTTCCAGGACAGCCAGGATATAAAGGAACCTTCTCTCAAAACAAAAAACAATAGCATCAATCAAAGGACAATAAGAAAGAGAAAGAGAGAGAAAGGACAGTCTCATCTTCCTGTGTTGGTGTCACAAAACCTCAGCTTCTGTGCCTACTGCCCTCCCCCGCCTCCCAGATCTCCACCTTGACTCCTCTGCCTCTTTGCTGGGTGCCCAGGCCGAGCCACACCCTCCACAGTTGTTCTTGCACAGCTGGCTCCATGGGGCTGCTTTCTGGAAGTCATCCAGGGCCAGGCTTGGGGCTCCATCACCATTCTCAAGAGGCACTAGCATGCTCTGACTGTCCCTAGTTTCCAGCTGTAAAACCTCCAGGAGACAGATGGCCTCTGCAGCCCTATGTCAGCTCCAGACACAAGTCCTGGCTCCTCTGGCTCCCAGAGCAGGCAGACTCTCAGCACAGCCTGCCTTCCTCATCCTTGACCCGCCATACCCTAGGCCCTTTAGTGCAGGCAGTTTGCGGCTCTGTAGCCTGCTTTGGGGGGGCTGGGCAGCTGGGG